ATTTAGGCTGACAGATGCCTTTTTAAGCTATTATAAGTTTTAATGAGATTGGAGCCAAGCATTTGCAATTAAGAATCAAAAGTGACTGTATTTAAATTTTATACAAACCTGAATTTATTTGGTACTATTAAGATCCTATAAAATATGCAAACATCAATGAGCTTATTTTCAATGAACGTGGTATTCATTAATCTTCTTACAGTTACAGAATAAATGTTACTGCTTAAAGGCAGTGTTTGCGTGCACACACACAAAAAGTTATTAAAATTTTTGGACAAGATTTTTTTTGCTCCATAGTCTATTGAACATGTGATAGCATGAACCCTCTGAACCAACATGTAGTGAAATCTTGTAAACACTAAAACCAGAGTTGTCAGCTGTCACTCATCTTCTGAGACACTCACTCATACGTCATCTTCTCACCACTTCTTGCTCCTTTACTCTGTATACTTGGATGCCATATGCCACCTTATATATAACGCACAGACACAGGAGGGGGCATGATTTTTTTTTAAATGTATGTTTCCTTTTTTAGCCTGGTAGAGGGCCTTTCTTATAGCTGCCGACCCAGCCAGCCACAGCTTGCTCTTCAGCCTTTTTGCTCCAATCATGATTTTCAGACCATTTTAGGGACATAGGTGACTGCAGCCCCCAGCGTACCGAAGTCCCAAAAGCATGTGTTATGGCTTTAAAGAAAGAAACTCTTATTTAGACAATTTGTACTTGGCTCCAAGATACAATACTAAAGAAAAGACTATTATAATCCACAGAAACTATAGAAACAAAACTAGGTTTGAGTATTTGCACTCTCTTTTTTAACTTCTAAAATTTCTTGAAAGTAGCCCTGCAAAGCTCAAGGGTGCAAGATGTGCCTTTTAGCCTAAAGGCAAATTAAATTAATAAAACAACTGTAAAAAAATAAATAAATAAAAGAAATGCATGTACAGAACTCTATAGCCTTCCCGATATAGCATGTAGGAGATGCAAGAACTGCTATACTGTATATAAGTGTATTAAACAGTGTGTTGAACACAATATGTTCTATGAGATTTTAATATCACCATTACTAGCTGACTATTGTCTAAGCTCCAGTGAAGGAAAAAATTAAATATTTAACATAATTTTAGGAAAAAATGTATAACTGCCACTATACAATATTAATATGAAATCATTATGAATCCACTTGTTCCTTTAATCAAGCTCTGGAAGATTAAGGCTCTCACTTTACTACCCAATCAATTTATTTGCTGCAAATATGGCTGAGCCACTACAGCCATTTTCCTTCATTGCTTGGGGCCAGATTCACAGACCTGAACTAGGGTTACCCTTTAATTGAATCTCTGCACCCGCACGGGACTCGATTCCTCACCCATAAGGGCTAAGAACCTCCCTTCCACACAAAACTAGATTGATGTTCCTTTTTATTCCAGTATATTGCTCAGACTGAAGTCAGAGCAAACTTTATAGATGTTAAAGAAATAAGCCCCCACATCATTTCATGCTTCTTCCTCCATTATTTTTTGTTGTTGTTGTGTACCCAATTTCATGTCTTTGCCACACACGTTTCATCAGGGGGCTGGACTCGATGACCTTTCAGGTCCCTTCCAGTTCTAGGAGATGGAGTATCTCCATTAATTAATTAATTAATTAATCTAGGGAGAGTTTAAAGTTTTATTCCTGTGTAACTGAAGGCTTCTGTTCTTCCACTCTTTTGAGTTTGGAGTGGAGGCAGGAAGTATCTATCTAGTTTTAAGACAGCATTTATAACCACCCTAGGTTATGATCTCATAAGACCTCACAAACTAACTATCTGCAGCCAGGCAGAAACTTGAAAGGGAAACACCGTGGTGCTGAAGAAAGTCATGCTGATTATTCAATAAGTGACTTTTTTCTGAATTATCATGAAACCAGTTCCTCAGAATGATGCTAGCAATGCTGACTTTTGGGTGGCTTATAAAAACTTGACCACTTTTGTGCTTTGAAGATCCCAAGGAACTTTGTGTTAGAGGAGGCATGTTAATCATGGTGTCTTGACCAAATTCTAGTTGAGGATGTGGTAATGACATTTTTCTCAAATTCCTCCTGCAGCTTCTATTAATTGTGTCCCACCCTAAAGTATTGTGTAGTGTTGATGTGCATGCCATATTTAACCTCAGAGGGTGGCTGCAGTGTTGGATTAAGTGATTTGTAGGTATTTTTAGATCTCTCTAAGTTTGTAGAGCACTTGAGGATCTGTTAGAATGGCATGCACTACATTAAAGTAATGCATTACTATTATTGGGTTATTTTTATTTATGACGATCACACAATGTGGTCACAAAACGGGTTTATATCATTAGACTTGAGTTGATGCTCTGTGCCAAAAGATTATTAGTCTCCCTAAGCCTATATATTAGAATTCACTGTTTTCATAAGAAATATTTGTGTTCTATTTATGGCCATGGAGGTGGCAGAGAAGATGAGCAGGCAGAACATGAGATTCTATAGTGAATGTATTGCACATTTAATTGTGTTCCAAGTTTCGTATCAGTCAGTGTCCTGAAATTGCAAAACTATACATTTTAACTAATCTAAGAAGATTGATAATCACAGACCTTCCACAATTGGCAACCCACAGAGGCCAGAATTCTTGAAGATGTAGAAATGGCCCATGAGAGAAAGATAAGTGATCAACACTGAAAGTGAAATAAAAGAAATATTAACATAGCAGAAGTAACAACAGGAAGAGGAACTGAGCTACCAGGCTCATAATCAAAAAGACGTCATAAATGAAGTGAAACACTGACAAGTTTAAGACTTTCATCATTCTATCTCCAAATGTGTACCAGAATGACACTTGTCAAGAAAAAAATGAAAGAAACAACATCTAAGGTGCGAAGCACTTCAAATCACAGAATCCATCTGGAGATGCCAAAGATGAATACTGTGTTTAGTCAACATTTCCCATCAACCATATATTGACATCTGCTGTTGCTATACAGATCAACCCAGAATTAACGTAAAATTGCTGTATTGCTTAATAAATATTGACTTATGCTGTCATTTTAGCTGTATAGCAAGGAAAGAGCAGTATTTAAGAAAAGCAGGTGTGGACACAATAAATGTTTTTTGAAACTGGTGTGGCCAGTGGCATAACTGAAGGAAAATATATGCAGGATGCTCAGAATTTGGTAATGTACTTTTCTGTTTCAGCTATAGATATGGTCACTCCTGCTACAAAAACACATTCAAATTGTCATCAATAAAAAGTTGATTGATTTTCACCTAATTTCAGCAATGCCATCCCTGAAATTAACATCAAGTTTAGTTTGGCAAGGGTCTGTTCATACATCTTGGACATGACTATGCTGCATAAAAGGAATAATTGAATTGAAAATTAAATAAACATAATTGAAAACAAATGTACCTTTTAAACAGGAAAAAGAGATTCCTGATAAATTTCCGTTGCTTAGTTCATAGCGGCATTGTTTTAAAAAAAAATGCTAGAAAGGATTGAGCTGTAAAGTTAATTATATACAAAATGTACACATTAATGAACATAATTAAAAACGGACTTCAGCTGACCTCAAAAGGGAACAAAGGCTCTTCTCAAACTTCATAGGGTTTTATATTTGGCAAGAGTACAATATCTATGGTAATTAGACTTTCAGCACATTTGGATATGCTAATTGGCTCTAAGTTCTAATTAATTTCTTTATATAACTAAGAATGACATATCACTGAATGAATTTAATGTGTTTTTACAGCTGAACCTAGCAATTGGCATAATTTTCTAAAATATTTTAGTATAGAATATGCAGGCTTTATCGAACGATTGGTTGTATTAACACTGTAAGGTGGTAATGATTCATCTTATGACAAAATGTATGCATCTAGGTAAATATTTTGAATTAAAACCCTTCATTGTGCTGTGGCTAGTAATGTGGTTTAACAAATATGATTTTCAACTGAATCAGATTGCTTGGTGAAGCTTACCAGAAAGGTAATGGTGTTGGGAAACTATAAACAAACATACTGCAATGTAATAGTAAGGGCACATCAACACAGATTGCTCAGCATTGCTCTAACTCTGCTCCCTTTGAAGCCAATGGTAAAACTCCTGTTGACTTCAGTGGGAGCAGAAATGGGCCAATGCCAAGCATGTTCTCAGTCCAGGAGGATATGGAAAAACATAAATCTTAAAGATATTGATTAGGGGCTAGAGCTACAAAGGGGAATTATGTGTTGCAATACCTAATTCCTATGCACCCTCCTGCACAGTGGAATTCGCAGCCCCAAGTTAGACACCCTGGCTCCCCATGCATTATATGGAAAGAGGCACCTAAGAAAGGGATTCTCAGAAGCTTAAGCTAGCCAATGGAAATCCCAAGGAGAAGGGCATTAATATCTAATGAATATTTAATTATTTATACAAAGTAAACAAATATTCTTTCTTTTTCTGCATCATCTATTACAGATCCTCCATGGACACTATAGTTTTCCCGTCAGATGATCTTTCCCTCAATCACCTTTAAATGAGACTTTTAGCTTAGTTAAATATGGTAACCGTTTCTTTATCAATGAACAATATGCGGTTTAATTAAAGCTAATGTAACTCTTTTTCTCAAAGTTCCACTAGAAAACATGTGCTGGAGCAAATGACATGCTAGAATTATGTTGACTACTATTTTCCCAATTAGTGTATCACTGGAAGTGAGGTGTAGGTATTGTTATAGTCATCTCACATTTTAAATTGTTAATTCAGAAGTCCTCACCCTTCTAAAGCAATGAATATCCTCCACTGCCCTGGATGATGTCATACACTGCACGTGGTATTTAAAAGCAGAAACTGATATTCCGAATTTGCATTTTAAAAATGAATCTCTGGGCAAACCCCCTTTTGACTTTCCATCCCATTTTTTCTGGAAGGTTTTCTGTTGCTCCCATTTAAAGCTCCATAACAGGAATGACTGACAAAATGTTATGGACAATGAGGTGACAAATTGTATTTTATTTTTCAGCTTGGCTGCTGGAATCCTCTCACTGGTCTGAATGGGTCACTAACAGACAGAAAACTGGAGAATAACATGCGTGGGGTGGTTCTGCGTGTGGTGACTGTGCTGGTAAGGGATTCTGAGTGTTTTCCATTTAGAGAAATGCTACTTTTCTCCTTTTTGCTTTCCACTAATAGGTTATTGACTAAAGATGACTAAAACGGATTTTGAAAATAAATTACAAAGTTTAAAAAGAAACTGAAACATAGTCAACTGTCACAGAATTGAGTTTCTCCTTGTCAATATTGGATCAATGGGAATTTTCCACAAAATAATTATTTTATCAATAAAGTTCATTTGAAAGTTGGAATTAAAGACATTAAATACTGTTTCTTCCATAGGCACATACACATAGTAGGTTATTCAATCAACCTGTGTTAACTCAAAAGAGCAACACAATCTTGCCTGCCAGCTAAGATTTCCTAGCTAAAACTCCAAATGATGCATAAGATATAGCTGCCTTTCAATTACTGTGCCAAACTGAGTGCAGTTTGACACAAATTACTGCACTCAGGAAAATATTAAAGATTGGCTTAGGGTGAATTATGTTAATTCAGTGAAATAACCTTCCTCTCAGGGTTCCCTGGGCCAAATTCTCCCCTGTGCAGTGGCCACTGCATGTCAGGCTGCTGGATCAAAGGAAGGCCTGAAGCTGGCCAAGGAGGGGTCATACCCAAATAGGGAGACAATTTGGTGGCACAGAGCCCGCATAGAGGCTTCTGTACCCCGCACCCTCCTCGCCACTTGAATAGAAGAGTTGACCTGGGAAAAGGGGGTGTGAGCAGTGTTCTCTGCCTGAGATGTTTCAACCTAGTGTGGCCATTCAAAGCTGGGACTGGCCCAACAAAGACTCAGTCAAGATTCAGGGCAAGTACAAAGGTTATTTTAAGCCACCTTTGTAGTCACTACCTCCTCCTAGTTGTACCCACTTCTTGGTCATGAGTGAGGATTTGGACACTTATTTATAAATGAAGATACAGGGGTGGGTTTCTGTTATTTCCCTTGTAGATGTTGCCTTGTACAGAAAAAAATTCAGCGGGGCTAAGCTAGAGGGTGATATCAGGGAGTTAGGGGTACAATTAAAACACAAATTTTGCTTTTTGGGGTTTTATCCCATGACTGGTTAAAATCTAGCCTTTAGAAGATACTATAAATACGGTAGTCCCATGTGCTTTTACTATTGTCTGCTTTGTTTATATCCGACCATGGTTTTAAAAAAAATAGAATGAATAGATCTAAAAAGACAAAGCAGTATTTATATGTTTTATACTTTGATGCTAATTGGATATTCCTCAAAGTAGTATCACAACAGCAATGGATGGCCTTTGTACTTTGCTTGGTATAAACTTAAATTGATTCAACATAATTTTCTTGCAACAGAAATGTTCAGCGAACATTCTCTATCAAAAGAAATTCAAATGAGTATCTTGTCTTTTTTTCATCCCTAGTTAGCATTTTAGTTAGCTTGCCAGGGAGCATTCTTATGTCAAACAATTATATTATGAACATTTAGCAACTTAGACACTAGTGTGGAAAAAAGAGTAATTACTCACACTGATAGTTTTGTATAAGCCAAAAAAGAAGGATATTTAAAGTTCAGCAACACATCACATGGAAGATTTAGTTCCGTCTCCACAGTCCCCACACAAACAAAGACCATTGGCTGATATTTGCATCCAGGGGGCAATTTCTATTTTGTGTTTGTTATTTTTAAAGCAATGTGTTTCCAAACACAACTGCAACTTGGTAGTATTTAAATTGTGCCATCATGCAAATTGATTAGTCCCTTGTTTTGTTAACTGCGTCTCTCTCTATATGAAGACTATAAACTAGAGGCAGTGGATGAGGAAGACACAAATGATCCCCATTGCCTTTATACAGTAAGACTTTCCTCTGTCTTTTAAGCAATTAGTAAGGCTTTGCATGCTTGGTCAGTGCAGTCTGATGGTTCGAGTCTTGCAAAGCTGTCTGTGACCCAGAGTACCAGCTAAGGCTCATTATATTTTATACACCAAAGCACATATTTTCTAAGTTGGGTGCCTAAAGTTGGGCACCTAAATAGGGACTTGATTTTCAGAGGTGGTAGGAATCTGCAACTCTGATTGAAATAAATTAAATATTTTATCTGTTTGGATGATAAACATGAGTTATGCTGATGGGTCCATTTTTGCTTGAATTCTAGAATTCATAAGAGGTGGAGAGGGCATTCTTATATAATTATTTCCCACTCACATACAAAAGTTTGGTGTAGAAAAGAAAAGATAAAAAAATCAATCAGACAACAAAATGGAAAACTGAAGGAGGGCAGAAGAGATGGAAAATGCAGTAATGGCAATTGTGCTAGTATTCTATCATCGTCTCTTACCTCCTCTAACTTAGTGCTTGACTAATTACTATTGTTGCTGCCAATTGTATTGATGACATTATAAATTTAGGGCCTGGTCCTGCAAAGTTTTACTGTTGTGTGCCAGTGGATATGCTTGAGCAAGCAAAGTTTCACAGGATCTGGCCTTGATTGTGTCTGGGAATTAAAATTCATCTGTCATATTCTCTCTCTCTCTCACACACACACACACACGCACGCACACACACACACACACACACACATGTATATTGCTCTAGTTTACAGGCATGGCTGTTGCTTGTTACTAATTTTAGCATGGTTCAGCTCAATTAATATCTTTGGTTTACATCATTTATTGGGCGTGACTAATAACAATGATACAAAAATGTTAGCTTTTATGGGAAGGAAGGGTGTGTTGGTATAATATTCTGGGGTTTGTAAGAACAAGTGCGAGGTGCCAGAAATTGAGCAAGCATGTTAAGTCACAGTTATTGGCAAAATATTGTGTCTTTGCTGTCAATGAAGAGCTCTTAAGCAGAACAAAGTCTTGATAATCTATAAAAGTCTCTCTTTTGGCTATAATATTTTCTTTCTGGGGCAGAAGTATAATTTTGTATTTGTCACCTGGAGTGAAGTCTTGGTGCTGTTGAAGTCAGTGAGGACATGTCTACAATGCAATAAAACACTTGCATTTGCCCAGGTCAGCTGCAGGACTCGGACTGCAGGGCTATAAATTGTAGTGTAGGCATTTAGGCTCAGGCGGGAGCCTGGGCTCTGGGACCCCACATGGGGAGAGGGTCACAGAGCCCAGGCTCCAGCCTGAGTCCGAACAGCTAAACTGCAATTTTATAACTCTGTAGTCCAAGCCCTGCGAGTCTGAGTCAGCTGACACAGGCCAGCCACAGGTATTTTATTACAATGTAGGCATACTCTGAGAGTTGAGCTATTGAATTCACTAAGGGCAGGATTTCACCCGCGCACTTCATCTGAAAGGAGGAAACTCCTTTGCTCACTCTCTCTCTCACTCCTCTCAAGGGTGTTTCAAGCAGCAAAGGTTATAAATAGTGGTGTGGAACTTATTTAAGTTGTCAGTGGTTAATGATCTTAGCACTCAGACCTGCCAGGTTCTGAGCATCTTGGTCCTGATCCAGCAAAGAACTAAAACACATTCTTAAGTTTAAGTACTTGGGTAGTCCTACTGAAGTCAATGAGTTGCCTTAAATCCCTCTGGAGTGTTGTTTTTCCTTTTAAACTTTGATTTCAGTGATTCCACTATCTCACAGTAGTGTCAAATGCAAGTTTTGGAGGGGGTTTAGAGGAGGAATGTCAGAGGCTAGCTTTCTACGAACAGTACAATGCATGATACCACGATCTAGTGATGGAACAGTGGTTGTGACTTGCAACAGATGTGCAATGTTCTGTTTCCTGACTGAAGCCAGAGAAAGGGACTTCCTGAGTATGAAGTACAAGTTGTGACTATGCTGTAAAAAAGGGTTGTTGGAGTGGAGTAGATACTGTGGAGAATCTAAGGAGTTCTTGGATGAGCAGAATTTGGAAACCTCACTACCTCAGGTTCAAAGAAAGAAATGAACTGGCCACCAAGGAAACAGATAGAGGAAATGAGAGAGGAGGCTTGGCAATTGATAACCACCAGAGGCAAAAGGATGAGATGATGATCTACACAGCCAGAAGCAGATAAGGAATGGGCGTACTGTGACTACCAAAGAGAAGAAAACCTGTAGCTACGAGCTTCTCACACAGCTAGAGGTTTCCAGTCATTACCAGGTCCTCAGTGTGGGAACTATGGAAGGAATCTCTGAAGATCTAGCTGGTTGAATGGAATGGAAAGGTGTGCAGAACACACCTGTGGGTCGCTGCTCAGCCCAAGCTATAAACAAAACAAATATGCCCACGAAGAGATCTCCAGTTGTCCCAGGGAGGCAGAGAATCCTTGTCAGGGATTCTATGCTAAGAAGAATGAAAAGAACATTCTGCAAGACAAGCAGACAATAGGACAGTTTGCTGTCTTTCAGGAGCTTAGACACGAGATGTGATTCTAAGATTGAATAGGCTTAAAAAGTTCAAGTGGCTAGAAGTTGAAGTTTGACAAATTCTGACTAGAAATAAGGTAAATTTTTAACAATGAGGATAGTTAACTATTAGAACAAGTTACCAAGGGTTGTGGTAGATTCTCCATCACTAGAAATGTTTAAATCAAAATTTGATGTTTTTGTAAAAGATATACTCCAGTTCTAGGAATTAATTCAGGGAAGTTCTGTGGCCCGTGTTGTGGAGGATGTCCTAGAGGATCACAGTGGTCCATTCTGGCTATAAATCTAAGAATGAATCTCACCTCCTTCTGGATGAGTCTTCCCTCTCTTCCATTTTTATTGTGTTAAGGTTTTTGGGGGGAAGGGAGGAGGGGGTTAATTGTCATAGATTTTTGGCAGAACTTCACAGATTTCAACATCAAGACCAAACTGCACTTATGAAATTAAAAACCCTGTTGTGAGGTGGGGACAAATAAATTTTTGCTGATTTCTGTCTCATCCATCGAATAAAATCTTTATCCATGCAGAGAAAGAGAAATATTTAGGAAATATTACAAAAAAGAATAGTTCCACCTTTGAACCAGTTAAAGTTACTCGGATATGGCTAATAATACCCGGTCTCATTATTCTCCCATTTGCACATGCAGTTTTTATGACTAATAAACCAGAAAAAA